ATATATATATATATATATATATATATATATACATATATACACACATACATACATACATATATACATATACACACATACATACATATATATACACATATATACATACATATACACACACATATACACATACATACATTTACATACATACACACATACATATACACACACATACATACATATACATATATATACATAAACAAAGAAAGGGAAAAACAAAATAAAGAACTCATAGTTGGACCAAACCTGGCCCATCCGTGGACCTGACCTGGCCCACGGGTCATACATTGAACAGCCCTGCTTTAAACCAAGCTGTTGTTCCTTTTAATAAAGCCATGGAGTGATGTCTCGTTCCCTGAACAGCTGACCGTTAACATAAAGTTTATCTACAGCAACTGTAGCCCTGGCGCCCTCAGATATGAATTTTTTCCTGATTGGAAATAAAACTCGCCTCCGATCGAGTATTTCTTTAGGAAACTGATCATTAACGCTGAAATCTTTTCCACGCAGCTCTCTGCCCTGACTTCTCACCTGCTCTTTCTGTTTATAATGCTCAAATTTAGCTATAATTGGGCGAGGTCGCTTGTTATCGGGCCTCTTACCTCCGAGCCGGTGAACACGATGGAAAGTGAACTTTTTTACGGTTTCACTTGGGAGTTTCAGCTCACGTTGGATAAACTCACGGATCGTCGCTTCTGCGTCCTCCTCTCCTCGTTCAGGGATCCCAGAGAAGACAAGATTATCCCGCATACTCCGAGCTTGAAGATCCAGGATGGACTCTTTCATTTTCCTGTTTTCTCCGGATATCTGCGTCATCCTCTCTGTGAGATCTTTAACGTCTCCCCTCAGAGATTGGTTTTCTGCAGCTAACGACGCCACCTGAGCTTGGCTGAACTCCAGAGATTCCCTCAACGCTTGAAATTCTTTGTGGAGAGCTTCAACGAGAGCCAGTCGGGCATCTAAACTTGATAACTTTTTGTCGATGGACTCCAGAACATCGGTGAAGCTTTTCTCAGGAGACGTGGACGCGCCGCTTGAGCTCTCCGAACGCGTGCGCTTGGATGTTGGAGTAGCGGTGGGCGCGGTGTTCTGAGGTTTACCCATCACTATATTCTCAAAGCACTCGTCCAGGTAGCTCTCAAGACTGTCCAACGTCTCCTCGTCCAGTTTGTTTTATTGAAACAAAAAAGCACAGGTTAGTAATAACAAAAAATTTATGAAAAATATTAATGTATTCGATTGTTTTACCTGAGTTTAATTTATTTTAATTTAATTTGTTTGGTTTACCTGAATTTTGTCATTTACTTACGCTGCACAGCTCCTACGTGATCTCAGCCGCTCATCACCAGGTGACACCAATCAGCTACCTGACCTGAGACAGCTCATCAGTGAAGTTTTTACATTTCTTAAAAGTATAGTTTCCTTACATGATTGGGGTGGCTGAAGAATCATGAGCAGGGCCACCACTGGCCACCCCCTGGCTCCTCTGCTGCACCTGCTGGTGATGAACTTGCTCCGTTTGTTCACCAGGACCTGTCGCTGCGCCGCCTCGGTCGGACCAAGTCCAGAAAAACACTCGTCTCCAAAACTACAAACATTCACCATTCCAGTCCCTGTGATGGAGAACATCTGCGTAATGAGGGCTTCACTGAAATGCATCTTTTGGTTATTGAGATATTTTGCTAACAGATAAACCCCCAACAATTAATGCCAAATGTAGAAACTGAGGCCTCGGAGCATTTTGACCTAAGGCAGCGGGAGTGTTGAGCAAAATACAAGTGTTGCACTTGAAGCATGTTTGTGGGTCCAAGTTTTAGCCCAGGTAAGATGTTTCATCCATGTTGTGTTCTCTGAGGACAGCAGGTGTGCACGCCATCTTCAAGCAGCAGGTGTGCACG